GCCCCCCCCCCCCCCCCCCCCCTTCCCGTATCGACAACGGCACGAGCTGACCCGCGTTATACCTAGTTCTGCTGCGCACTGGAGGACCTGTGGGACGTCTTATGAGTCCTCTTTCGTCCCGGCCGCGCCCCTGCTGCTGCTGCTGCTGTCGCTGTCGTTAGGTATATCTGAGATTTAGGTTTTCTGCTGTGACTTGTGCTCTCCCGCCCCTGGTTTCTGTTTTTCCTTTCTTTCTGCCGACTGCTGTAGTGTTATCTCTTGCCCTTGCGACTCCCTTCCCACATTCGGAACGGCATCAACTGCACATCCTCCCTCCCCTTGTATTTTTACGTATTCCTAGCGTACCACTACCTACCACCTACCAACCCCCCTACGTACCACCACGAATCGAAAAAGCCCCCCCACGACGCAACCGCGACTCAACTCGCGGGCATCAGGGGGTGGCATTACTCTCGTCTACACATGCGTCGTGCGATCTTCTCAAAGGGTTTTTTACGTACGAAAAACTGTATGAATCAGGGGGGGAAAGCGGAAGATCACCATGATCGTTACAGCCAGGATTGGGTGGTAGACGGACTAAAGATACGCGTGGCGCGATGACTTCAAGTGTATGCAGGCATCTCGGAGTAACAACGTGATGCGCGCCTACACAGGGCCGTCAGCGCGCCCCGCTCAGGTCCAGCGCACCCATTGATCCTCCTATCACCTCCCTCCACGATCGCCCCTCCTTCCCTCCCCCCACTTGCATCCTCGACGACCCTCCGCTCAACGGCTGGCAATACAAAACACTAACTCGATCCTTTCCCAACTCCGCACCCGTCCTTTCACGCAGGGGCACGCTTTTTGCTCTGTAATAGATAGACACCTTCCCGCCCCCCGCGCTCGCCACGACCGATTATCGATAATGTCCGACCCGCGCCAGCTCCCGCCCGACGTGACGGACCCGAACTACAAGCCGCTGTCCGGGCGGATAGGCAACCTGACGGAGGCGCAGTACGAGGCGCTGGTGCAGTTCAAGAAGGAGCTCCAAGATGAGGGCGTGTTCGTGCCCGAGCGGATGGACGACGCTACGCTGCTGCGGTGAGTGTAGATCGCCGTTCTAATCGCCGTTTAATCGCGGCGTTTTTCCTTCCTTCATTCCTTTTTTTCCCTTTTTTGTTTTGTTTTTTTGGGTTACTGAAGGGGAACGGCGGGGAACCTGATCGCGTTTTTTTTTGTTCTTTGTTTTGCGTTCATCCCAGGTTTTTGAGGGCGAGGCAGTTCGACGTGCCCAATGCGAAGGCCATGCTCGTCAACGCGGAGAAGTGGAGAAGGGAGTTTGGCGTCGACGAGCTCGTCAAGTGAGTTTTTTGTTGAGAAGAGCGCCCGCTGCCGTGTGGGGGTTGGCCTCTCTCCCCCCGCCCCCTCTCCCCCCCTTGCATCGCATCCCGTGCCTGACGGACACGATCGACAGGACGTTCGACTTCAAGGAACAGGCACAGGTCGACAAGTACTACCCGCAGTATTATCACAAGATGGACAAGGTGCGCGGATCGGTCTCTCTCTCGCCTGCGCCGATCACAAAACGGCCCGACTGATCTGCGCGCAGGACGGCCGGCCGCTCTACGTGCAGCAGCTCGGCAAGCTCGACGTCAAGGCGCTCTACGCGATCACGACGCCGGAGCGGATGCTGCAGCGGCTCGTGTGCGAGTACGAAAAGTACCTGACCGAGCGGCTGCCCGCGTGCTCCAAGGCGGTCGGGCACCCGGTCGAGACGACGTGCACGATCATGGACCTCCAGAACGTCTCGCTCTCGTCCTTCTACCGCGTCAAGGACTACGTGAACGCGGCGTCGACCATCGGCCAGAACTACTACCCGGAGTGCATGGGCAAGTTCTTCATCATCAACGCCCCCTGGGGGTTCAGCACCGTCTGGGGGTTCATCAAGCCCTGGCTCGACCCCGTCACGGTGTCCAAGATCGATATACTCGGGAGCGGATACAAGGACAGGCTGCTCGCGCAGGTGCCGGCGGAGAATCTGCCGAAGGAGTTTGGAGGGCGGTGCCAGTGCGCGGGCGGCTGCTCGCTGAGCGACGCCGGCCCGTGGAACCCGCAATCGCAATGAGAGAGAGAGAGGGCGATCGGCCTCGTTCTGTACATCGGGTTGCTCCTCTTTTTTTGTTTTTCCTTTAGTATAGTGGCACAGAAAACAGGGCGCGCGATACCGCGTTTCGTACTTCATCCTTGCATGACGTCATAGCTTGGAGTCCCCCTACATACTCCAGAGGTTGCAGCCTGAGCGCAAAAGGGGCTCACGCGAACAAGGCCCTCAATATTTCCCATTCACCTACCTACCATGAGCTCTAGCTTACCCCGTTCAGGCCCGCTGGTGTCCGAGACGCCCACATACACCGCGCGGGCGGAAGACGACCTCGAGAACCCGAACGCCAACCTCGGGTACCGCGACCCGGACCCGTCCTCGACGCTGCACCCCGCCGCGCCGCGCGTGGGCGTGAACCCGGACGGGAACGAGACGTTCGCGAGCCACGACGGCGGCGATCCGCTGGACGCCGACCTCGACGCGGACGACGTGCACCGCGCGGGCGGGGTGGACACCGATAACTTCGCCCCGGTGGGCGCGGACAGCACCGAATACGAGGAATATTCGCGGGAGACGCATCCGGAGGACGACGACGAGCGGTTCGGGGAGGAGCTGGACGACGAGCTGGGCGGGACGGGGGTAGGGCTGTCGGGCGAAGAACCGGCGGTGGTAGCGGACTACGACGAGCCCGTGGATACGACACAGACGGACGCGATACTCGAGCTATGAAAACCGAATGAATTCCATCCGCATGGCGGTTTCACCACAGAGTTGGTCATTCTGCGCACGCCGTGCGCCGTGTTGGGACCGTCAAACGTCCAGAGTGAGAAAGGATTAGTCGTAAGAGGATATACATGAGAGCTCGCAGAACCTCTACTTCTCCTCCTGCCTTTGCTGATCTTCTTGCTCCTGCTGCAAGCTCATCTGGATCGCGCGCTCGATCTCCGCCGCCTCGTCCATGTCCTCGTCGTCGTCCTCACCCTCGCCTTCGCCCTCCATGTCGGCATCACCTTCCTGCTGTGACATTGCGAGAGCCTGTGCGGCGAACCTCGTCAATATAATCTGTCAGCCACGTTAAAATAAGGGTGAACACACTTTCTGCAGCATCGCCTCTTCCTCGTCGTCCGTCGGGTCTGCCGGTGCGGCGGTGGTGGCTGAAGCTGCGGCGGCAGGCGCTGGCGATGCTGCAGCGGCGGGTGCCGAAGGTGCGGATGCTTGTGCGGCAGCCTCGCGCGCTTGATGCTCTTCCATAGACATTCGTAACGCCTGAATAGCACGCGAATCATTAACGTTGCGCGTACAGAAGGGCGTCATTATGAAAGGATCAACCCACCATGGCCAGCTCGGGATCCAAACTGGGGTCCACGCCGAACTCGAAGTTCTCGCCGCCGCCGGTCGCTCCGGATGGGCCAGCGGCACCTTCCCGGAGCTCGGGCGGGATGCCCGCGCCCGCGTCTTCCGCCAGGATGGGTGACCGGAGGACCATCTCCGACAGCAAGTTGGCGCTCGGCGGTGCCGAGACGAAGTGTCTAAAACGTCCGGATCTGGTCACCTTCTGGATGCCATCGGGATGATCCGATACGAAAGAAAAAGATGGCCCGGCCCCCACCACTCACGAGTTGTCGCCGCTGTTCGCGGCGTCCACGAACGCCTTGAGCACGCCGCCGCCTTCGCCTTCCTCGATCCCGTCCCCGAACGCGACGACGTCGACCGCGACGTTGTTCTTCTTCAGCTTCTTCGCGAGCCGGACCATCGCGCGCTCGTCCGCGCCCTGGCCGACGAGCGGCGAGCCGACGAAGACGATGATCCGCTGCCGCAGGTTCTTGTTCTGCCGGTGCTTGAGCGCGAGCTGGGCGATCGAGATCGCGGTCGGGATGTCGGCGTCGCCGTAGATCTTGGCGCCGGCGGCGTGCGTCGCCGAGAGGATCTGGCCGAGGTCTTTGGTGTGCGTGACGAGCACTTCTGGTCTGTTTACCGCCGTTGCGGTCAGCTCTGTGCGTGCCGTGCCGTACGAGGAGTATAGCGTAGGTGGGCTGGGGCGCTCACCCTTTCCCGGCCATGGTCATCACGCCGACGGTGTTCTCCGGGTTGGAGTCGATCTTGGTCTGGAAGACGGTGGTGACCGCGTCCGACTGGGCCTCGTACCGGGAAGGCTGGTAGTCGCCGTTCCGCATGTACTCCGAGTTGTCGATGATCATCATCGTCGCTTCTAACGGCATATTGTCCGTCCCTCCTTCGTCCCGGTTTTATCGTCAAGTCAATAAAGATCGCCCCGAGGAATGGCAACGAAGCTCCAAGAACTGGCCGTTCAGCAGAAAGTGGCGGAGAAACGCGTACGCGTCCAAAGCAGCGAGGTAATGGTGGCTGTGCTGTTAGACGACCCCTTTCATACGGGGGGAGAGAGGACCCCCGATACATTCCGGTTGTCGCTCGTCTTCGCCGACGCTGTTCCCCGACACCCCGACTCAGGCCGCAAGTCATGGCCGCCTCTACCACCGCCTCACAAACCGAGCTCAAAGCCGCACGTACGCCAATTGCCTGGCGGGATCAGTGCTCCGCGTATGTTATCCAGCACCACTCTGAGCTCTGGATGGTAACAACTCACGGAACCTTTATGCGGTATATGCAGGCTCTTGCTCCCATTGAACGTGTGCAGGAAGCAGACCAACTACATGCCGTGGCACTGTGAGGACGAGAGGCACGTATACGAGAAGTGAGTGTTCGCGGTGCTATATCGTATGCACAGAGGTTGACTTTCAATGCTATGGCGATAGATGCCAATACGACGAGTGAGCTTTCATAGCTGCTTAATCACCCGAATGCGTCGTTTGATGCTTTTCTCGTCAGCTACGTCCGACGCATGAAGGAGCTATCCAAGCGGAAACGTGCAGCGGCGCACGCAGACGAGTAGACGCTGGCTGCGGCCATTGCCGTATACGGTGTAACCAGCCTTTTGTCCTAGATGCATAAACCACTTTTTTCTGGCATTGGTCTCATATGCGATTTGCTTCTCAGTCTTCTTCAAGGACTGCCCCTACCGACCGTCCTGCCCAAGCCTCGATCACTGGGAGCTATTACGACGCGTCCTTGATGAACCTCTGAAGCATGCATCTCGCGCTACTCACACTTCTTTTCGCCACCCAATCACTTGCTTGTGATTACGAGCGGGCTTCGCTGAACGCCTCTCCGAGCTTTTACTGCCGTAATGCTGGCATCAGCGTGTCCAGACCGACGACTCATCCGTCGTCCGCAGTATTAGACTACTGCTGAGCCGCAGCCGGTTGTGTATATACTGACGAGCCCGGAGACAACGACGACTCTGAGCTTTAGCTTCGACGATGGGCCATTCTCAACCTGGCGTCCGCCTAGCAACACTTGCAGACCTCGACGAGCTCGTCGAGTCCGCGTCCCGCGCCTTCCTCGAGAACCCGCTACACCACTACTGCGCCAACGCACGCGTTGTGAGTTCACGTCCCCTTCAATTTTTTTTGTTTTTTGGCCGATGGTGGGCTTAATACTGATGCGTCTATCTTTTAATTCAGCCCATGACCGACCCATCTTTGACAAAAGACAGGCGGAACAACACCCGCTTCCTCCGCTTCGTCATGAAGTCCACCTTCCTCTACGAACACCGCAACACCGTCGTCGTGCTCCCGCAAGACGACCGCTCGCCAGGGAAGATCGTGGCCTGCACGCTCTGGCTCGCCCCGAACTCGCGCCTGGACCTGTGGAAGATCGTCGTGCTTCTCCGCGCGGGCGTGCTGGGCCCGATCAAAGCCTGGGGCCGGAAAGGGTTCGTCAGGCTGACGCAGGAGTTCGAGCCCGCGCGTCGGAGCGGGCGCAGAGGGAGGCGTTCAAGAAGAGGGGGCTGGGGAAGAAGGAGCCGAGAGAGGCGTGGTTTCTGCAGTTGGCCTGGACGGCCGGCTTGCGGGTTTTCGGACCCACCGAAATACCGTGCCCCGATGCTGAAAGGAGGGAACAGGGTACTTGTCAATGCTGATCAGTGACCAGCTTCTCGCGTTCGCGCCGCGGGAAGTGCATGCGTTGGACGCGAGCGGGCGGCATTCGAGGGACCGGTACGAACACCTTGGATTCGAGGTTGGTGACTCGTCCTGTCCCCTCGTGGATGCGTACTATGGTGGGGTCAGACGATGTCGGGGAAGCTCACATGCGATTTCTTGATTGGCAGGAAAACTGCCCCATGCGATTCGGGTTTGGGAAAGTCGATGAGGACGGCGTGGTCGTCAAGGATAAAGAGAGAGCCACCGGGTTCGTGAACAACAGCACGACTAAGGTGACTGCCCTATGTTCCTGTGTGCGTTCCTTGCATAGTGCTGACTTCTACGCATTCCAGTGGGTAGACTCGTAGAGTCCCCGTCATGATCGAGGACAAGCTTTACGTTAGGGGAGCTTCGCTCCTCCCCGATGGTAAATTAGTTCGGGAATACAGTTCAGCCGACGAAACAGAAGGCTCAACAGAAATTGTCGCTATCAACGAGCCGTGGCTCTCCCCTTGTAAAATATCCAGATGTTCAGGTATGAAGGAACATTCGTGGTGCCTTCAACACCGACTGTCAAGTCTCCAGTGCGTCGGCGTCGAGCCGTGAGCGTGTGATGGTATTGGCACCGGGCCGGGTCATGTCTACTATTTCTCCCTAGTTCGGTTCAATGCGACTCACCCGCAAACGACTTGCAGGGAGTTCTCCCGACGCGACGTCTATTAATAGAGTCCACTAAGTACCCATCGCTATTCATAGATCACCGACTGATCACTCACTTCACCAATCAGCCGAATGCAAATCACCCGCGTTGCAACCAATTCACCCACAAAACGATTGAGAAGTCGCCGTGGCAGCAGCACCTCGCATGCAAGGGACATTCATCCCAGACGTCTTATTCCCGCTGCTCACGCTGAATTCTTGCGGCATGACAGCTTTACTACACATTTTCACCGACTCACCGAGACCGAAGGTCGATGATCCGCCCGCAATCACCTGGCTGCGGACACGAAAGCAAGCAAATGGGGATAAAACGTATGCGGACCAGAGCTTCAGCCCAACCTGGATACCGCGATGGACCAAGCCAAACCGTACATCCGCCAAGCTACCCTCGCCGAGCTCGACGAGCTCACCGAAACGGCGTCCCGCGCCTTCCTGGACGACCCGATGCTTCACTACTGCGCCGATGCGCACGTCGTACGCTGCTCCCCTGGGTTATCCCCAACTGCCCGGGCCGTTCGCTGACCTAACACGCGCTCCCGTTACAGCCCATGAGTGATCCGGGGTCAGCGAAAGACAGGCGGGACCAAGCACGCTTCCTCCGCTTCCTCATCAAGTCTACCTTCCTCTGCAAGCACCGCAACACCGTCGTCGTTCTCCCTAGCACCACTCGAGGGGGAAAGGAGAAGATCGTCGCGGGCACGCTCTGGCTCCACCCCGGCTCGCGCCCCGACAACGCGATCGTGCTGCTGCGCGCCGGCTGCGTGGGCGCGATGAAAGCGTGGGGGAGGAAGGGTCTCGTCCGCCTCGCGCGCGAGTACGAGCCGGCGTCGGGGCGAGCGCAGGAGGAGGCGTTCAAGAAGAGGTTCAAGGGGGACGGGAAGAAGCTCCGTCCGCGAGACGCGTGGTTTTTGCAGTTGGCGTGGACGGATCCGGAGTATCAGGGGAGAGGCGAGGCTTTGCGCCTAGTACCCGATGGTTTCCGTTCGCTGACGAGAGCGTCTCCGTTGCCTGTAGGATATCTGTCGATGCTGATCCGGGACCAGTTCGCGTTTGCGCCCCGGGAGGTGCATGCGTTAGACGCCAGCGGGCCCAAATCCAGGGATCGGTACGAACACCTCGGGTTCGAGGTCTGTATGCTTGTCCTTCGCTCCCTGCGGCGGCTCAACGATCCTCACGTTCACGACCGTTTGTACGTCGTCTGTGTAGGAAAACTGCCCGTTGCGTTTTGGGGTAGGGAAGGTCGATGCGGATGGCGTGGTCGCGAAGGATAAGGAGAAGGCTAGGGGGCTCGTTCAGTTCAGTATGACCAAGGTAACTTGTTCGCTGCGGATCCGATCCACAGCGTATTCATATCTCTTCTAGTGGGTGGAAACTTCGCCGTAATCATACGTTGAGCGGGAAATAGGCTTTTTTACACCTGGGGGATTCACAGACGCTTCACCAGGAATACTCATCAGCTCCTCGTTACAACATACCAATCCCAGGCAGTTCAAGCAGGAGGCGAGTCAATGATATTAAGACGCGGCTGCGGATACAATGCGGTGATAATCCAGATTGTGATGCGTGTACAGTATTAGCTGCGCCTAATGTAACACGAACCAAGTGAATTCTGAATGGAATGAAAGTTGTGATCATATCATGACGGTAGAGAAGCCGGATGGGGTGGAGTCACTGGATGGATAGATGGATAGATGGGGGGAGTCTTTGATGAAGGTAGGTATCACGCTTATCCGATGACTGAGATTATGGAGGACGATGACCAGGTGCTCCTCAGCACGCTCTCGAAGGTGATCATTTCCGCCGCCGCGGCGCGCTCCTCCTCCGCCGCGATCTCTTGCGCGACGCGGCGGACGCACTCCTGTGCAGCGGTGGACCCCTCCTCTGCGCGGGCGCAAACGAATTGCCACTCCTCGTGGTCGAGGTCGACGTAGGAACGGCCTTCGAGCCGGTCGAGCGCGCGCCGGCGGTGGAAGAGGCGTTCTTCGGTGTCGAGGATAGTGATGGAGACGGTCTGGAATGCGACGGCGAGCCGGCGGCGGATCGGGTTCATGCGCGCGAGGGTGGAGGTGAGGGAGGTGTCGAGCTCGAGAGGGGTGGGCGAGCGTGCGGTGAAGGGAGCGGAGAGACCCGGCGGGGTGAAGTGGACCGTGACGGAGGAGGTGGAGGTAGATGCGACGAAGAGAGACATGATGGGTGAGTGGGTGTGAGTGGATGTAAGTGGATGGGTGCGAAGTGAGGTTATGGGGTTTGCGAGGATGGCAAGGTGCGACTGAGAGGAGGTGGGCTCGATGGAAGTAGTAGAACAAGGAAGTTCTGGTACGCTACAGTAAACGGTGCTTGGTTTTATACCCGAACGAGGTAGAATGGGGAACCCATGGCGCAGAACGCGGGACAGACGCGCGGTACAGCGGGACGGAAAAGTCAAGCGCGATCGTCGTGTCCGAGTAGTAGCAGCGGGATCATGTCGGAAAACGGGCAAGGTTCCGATTAACAGAGACGCTATAGTTATCCGGTTGGAGGTGCGCCTTGGTCAGATGTGGCGTATCCTTCCATGTTACGATGCTGGCGGAAGGCAACGGAGACGGCGGATGCGCTAGACGATCGACGAAACGGAAGCACAAGAAGCGGGAGAGGCGATGCGGCGGTAAAAGGGCTTCTCTCCCGCGCCCCGGGATTACCGTTTCGGGCGAGTGAATAGGGGCGGAAGGTAGGTTGACCTCCGATCATCACTACCGAAGTATGAGGAACGCGTGTGGTATGAATGGTGGGTATGGATTGCTCGAAGCTGCGATACATATGCATGTCGTGCTGCATTAGACGTGGTATGTGCTATGTAATATGCGATAAACGGAATGTTGTATACTAGCATACGCTCCTCTGAGCGGCTCTACGCTTGGGCGGCACGCGCCTTATTCCATGCATCAAACTCCTTCTCGAACTTCTTTACGATATCATCGACGGTCGTAGACTGACCAAAAGCTTCAACGAACTGGCCATCGGGATCCATGAGATAAATGAAAATCGAGTGATCGACGAGGTAATCGTCCGTGGGCTATATGCGTTGTCAACACATTCATTAGCTCCAGGACAGTTTGATGAAAACAATGAAAACATGCCTTGGCATCTTTCGGGGTGGAGAAGTACACACGATAGGATTTGCACGTCGCTTTGGTCGCGGCGTAGTCGCCCGAGAGGCCAGTGAAGCGCGGATGAAAGTCGGCGAGGTAACGCGCGATCTGTCCCGACGTATCGCGCGCGGGATCAACGGAGATGAAAACAGGGTGGAGGAGCGGTTCTCCGCCATGCTGTTTGTCTAGTGTCGTTTCGTAAGCGACGATTCGGGAAATAGGGAAAGTTGGGACGTACCAATCCGCTCTACGACATCGCCCATCTTGTCCATCTCAGCAGGGCAGATGTCTGGGCAGTTGGTGAAGCCAAAGTAGAGCAGCGTCCACTTCCCGAGCAAGTCTTTCTCGGTGAACGGCTGGCCGGTATGCGTGGTGAGCGAGAAGGGGCCGCCAACTTTCGCGCGGCCGTAGGACCTCTGTTCTAATTCTTCCTCTACATATACATTGTGTTAGTGATCCATTTATCGAAGATATAACGAATCGTTCAATGTACGCACGTTTCTTCTTTTGTAACTTTTCCTTCTCGGATTTGAAGTACCAAAAGAGTCCGATGCCTGTCGCGACGAAAATGGCGGCCGCTGTTGGCGTGAAAACCTAACGAAAGGCGCCCCATGTTAGCAATTCAAAGCTCTTGAGGCCATCACAAAGCTATCACGAACCCCAACGGCAGCCCTGTCCCGAGCTCCGGACGCGCTTTGCTGAACAGCGTCGATGTACTCAACCTCCGGCTCCGGCTCCCTCACCGGTTCTTTGGCCTTTTCTTTCTCCTCGGAGTACCACCTCCGCCCAAATTCCGCTCTCCTGCATGTTAAAGGTCCGCGAGGGCGTACTTTCGTCGTTGTGCTCGGCCCCGCCGAGTATTTGCGGGACGCGGCGGCGGCGACGCGACGGAGAGCAGAGGAGGGAAGCATCTTCGGCACCGCCACGCGCCGCTTGCTCATCCTTTCGCTTGCCCATCATCCCCAGTGCTCCTCCGCCTTATAGCCTCGGGCCGCATTACATTCTTTAGCCTGTGTTCTACGCGCTGGTCGACGAGCTTCAGAATATATACCCCTTCGCCATGAAGCTCCCCGTCAGCCTTATGAGGCTACCGCATACCCTGCTGGCCGCATCACTCGCGCTGGCCGTGGTCTCCTTGCCTGTCGAGTCGCAGGAGGTCCAGCTACAGGTGCTGACTCCGGATGACTTCAAAGATACTATAGCCAACGGCGTGTGGTACGGTTTTCTACGACCATCGAATGGGGGGTACGAGGCTGACTTCATGACAGGTTCATCGAGCACTTCTCGCCGTATTGCGGGCACTGCAGGCAGTTCGCGCCCACATGGTAGATTTGCCATCGTCAATTCCGGCCAGTCATGTGTGGACTGATGAAATCCTACAGGAAACAACTCGTGGACGAGATCGAGAAGACGCCTGACCCGGGCATCCACTTGGCTCAGGTCAACTGCGCGGTCAACGGAGGTCAGTCCCTCCTTCGGCTTACCGAGCACACCTCTTTTCTGCGCGCTCATGCTGAAACCATACACTCTGTCACAGACTTGTGCACCGCTAACGGAGTCAAGGGGTACCCCCAAATGAACCTCTATAAGAACGGCGAATTCATCGAGACATGGCACAAAGCGCGCAACTACGACGACCTCCTCGCCTACCTCCGCCAGCACGCCGAACCCTCGCACCCTCACACCCTGCCGCCCTACGACGCCGCCTCCGACGCCGACCTTGACGCCGACCTTCCCCCCGCCGGCGTCGACCCCAACCCTCACGGAGAAGTGCTCTCCCTCAACTCCAAGAACTTCTACGGGTACCTCAGCGAAGGCCCGCTCTTCGTCAAGTTCTTCGCCCCCTGGTGCGGCCACTGCAAGAAGCTCGCGCCGCACTGGACGAAGCTCGCCGAGGCCATGAAGCACCGCATGGCGATCGCCGAGGTCGACTGCGAGGCGGAGCCCAAGCTCTGCAAGCAGCAGGGCGTGACCGGATACCCGATGTTGTACTATTACGAGGGCGGAGAGAAGACGGAGTACGTCGGCGGAAGGAAGATCGGCCCGCTGCAGAGCTGGGCGGAGAAGGCCGCGGCCCCCAGCGTGCTGGAGATCACAACGACTGACGAGCTGGACACACGACTGAACGAGGACCCGGTGGTGTTCCTCGCCCTTCACTCAGGATCGGATAAGGCCTTGGTGGTATGTGTCTATTCTCTAGACTCTCAACAGCCATTCTCAAGTCAGCCTTCGCAGACCTCGTTGCAGCAAGCCGCCTCTTCGCTCCTCGGTAGCGCTCAGCTCCTCCTATCCTCTTCCCCAGATATATACACCCAGCTCTCCCTCCCCGCCTCCTCCCCCGTTCTCCTCGTGCTCAAAGACGGCGCCCTCGCGCCCACCGCCTCCCTCCCGCTCATCGCGCACCCTCCCCCGGCCGCGATCAAAGACTTCCTCACCAAGCACAAGCTCCCGACCGCGCTCGAGCTCACGCAAGAAACGTTCCAGAGCGTGATGAGCGCGCCGCACCGCCCGCTGGTCGTCCTCGCTGCCGTTGGCAAGGACGACGCGAACAAGGATGCATACACGAAGAGTATCAAAGAGCTCGCCCGGGCGTGGCTGGCGAAAGAGCAGGCTGAGCCCGGGAAGCGCGCGGTGGTGTTCACATGGATGGACGCGGATCGGTGGGCGAGCTGGTTGAAGAGCATGTATGGTATCCAGGTCGTACCGGGTGCGGAACCGCCGGTCGTCATCACTGACCATGCCGTACGTTGATCCGTCCGTGCCCTACGTTTACGCGACACGACTGACGACGGACTGCGATGCCTTGCAGGAATTGGTGTACTGGGACACCGACGCGCGCGGTGCCAAGATTGCGCTGTCGGAAGTTAGCCTCTTCTCCGCCATCGAGGGCGCGTTATCGGGAACGATCGCGTACAACTACTCGGAGAACATCATCGAGCGCTTTGCAAGGGTACGCTACATTTCCTTCCATCTTCACCTCCTGAGATGCTCAAATCTTGACCTCTATCAGCGGATGAACAAGTATCTCACGGCGCTCGAGAGCAACATCTTCGCACACCCCCTACGCACACTCACGATCTTTGTATTGTTCATGGGCGCCTTGTTCTACGCGCTAAAACGCTGGGTGTTCGACGACATCAGCGATCTGGACGCGGGCAGGTACAACCCCGAGCGCGAGAAGCAGGTCAAAAAGGCGGCGAATCGTCTAGACTGATCGCGTGGTTTTTCCTATCGACTTCTGCGGACATTCAGGAGAGAGGAGGGATGGCATTATTATTCTTGGTTCAAGGATAGCGTTTATTTGGGATTACTGATTGAACATGTATCGTGGTGCGCTCGACCATTACTATCACTATCTCCGGAACGACACCAGGTTTCGTGAAAACCGCGAACCGGGATATCTAGTGCGTCGACATCATATACCGAACACTGCCATGTGACGGCACTGCTTGCGTATCCATGTTGATGAGGTCGCCTGGAGCGCACTCGTGAAAGCCCTCGCCCGCACCCAAACGCTGATAGCACCGGGGTTGCCATTCATCGCCCGGTGGGGCTATTCGCGGTATCGCAAACATCGGGTACCCGCTCGCACGTCATATCCTTATCGCATCCAGCATGCCCTTCGAAAAATCCAATCGCCTGCATCTCCAAACTGGCAAACGTCGGGATCAGAGCCAAGGCGGCCTCCGTCGGAAAGACCCCATGGAAAGGTCTTGGCCTTGGTATGAGTCCAGCATGAAACCTTGACCCGGGTGATTATGAAGACGCAAGTGAGTGACAGCGTCGATATGATTGGTATCGAGCGAGCGGCCAGGGAGATTCAGCCTGAACTTTAATGTGAGGTGAAGCTTTTCCTATTTTGTTTAATTTTCTCCGTAATGAATGTTCGACACGCTCCTTGGATGTTTCGGCGGAGCATGCAGAGGAGCTGACTCTCGTTCTGCAGTCCTTCGCACGTCTCCTAAGGGAGCCTACTATCTTGCATGGCCCAGGCCTACAGTGGAGACGCCGGTGATATTCTGGTGAAAATCCTCCATTTGGGAGACAACATAACATACAAAGGAATGGATCGATCTGTAACTCTGCAAAATACAAATGATGATGGGATCCGCCCTAGATTCGCCGTCACGTCAAGACAACCCGTTTTGAATATAGGAATCCGTCGTGCCACTTGATTACGAGTTGGATATTTGCGGATGGAGACATCGTCATACCTTGTTTCGGATGGGGCTCCTGCACCGAATTTCTTCAGCAATCGAAGACTCGGGGAACGGCCCAGTCCTGGAGTTCCAGCTCGCGCGTGAAAGCGCGGGCGCGATCCCAGATGCTCTCGCCTCCGAACACTTCTCGTTCCCAATCGTCACGGAGCGATGCCGTCCGCATCACCGCAAACGTCGGGTACCCACGGGCACGTTGCTTCCCCACTCCCCCAAGACACATTTCTCCATAGACGCGCAAGAATTCGTGGTTCAGCTCGATCACGAACATCTTCAAGTGCTTGAACTCGCGCTGCGTGTCGCTCAGCAGTACGCAGACCACCACGTTCGGGTGATCGGTGCCGATGGATAGATGTGTAAGGTTTCGGTACTGGAGGAACTCCTCGCCGGGCTTGATGCCGGTGTAGCTATGAATCCGCAAGTGCGTGACGGTGTCGGTGGTCGTGCCATCGGACTCGTAGAAGTTGAGGTTCAGAGGAACGTTCACCGTGAGCCCAAGTGCTTTGATTGAAGAGGGTCCTGAGCGGCCGGAGTCGGTTTGCGCAGATGCATCGGGGAAGCGCGATGACAGGATCGCGAGCGCCTTGCGGATGTGAACCTCTTTAAGACGCCAAGTGCGATCGCGCGAGACGCGCGTCCAGCAGAGTGACTCCAAGTTGGGAAAGAGAAGGAGGAGTTTCGCGAGGAAATCCTGGTTCAGCTTGAGGTCGCGCAGGTGATACACCTCGCGAGACTCGCTCGGTGAACTCGCCTCGATCCATAGTTGACGGACGTGGCTAGCTCGCGATCTGGCGATGGCGGATCCCTGTCCGTCCTGCACAATCTCTTGGATCCAGCGTCTGATCATGTCGGCGCCTGCCTTGGAGTCTGTCGCCACGACAGCGTACAGGTGGCGTTGTGCGATCTGGGCCGTCCAGGATGCCACCAAGCAGAGGTTATAGGCCGTTCGGCGATCTATCGCGGAAGCGCGCTCGACGATATTGATTAACAGTTCAGTTGGTAGTAAGACTGGCATCTTCTTGTGTGTAGTCAGGTGCTGATATGAAGAACTTGTCGTTTCGTCGTTGTCGAGTGGCTCGAGTCTAAGACAAAGGAAGGATGGTTGTCTGAAAGTTCGCACGGACCTTGCACTGAGTCGAACTCTCCCACGATAGTGGGTGCACAACGGGCTTTCCTGTTTCTGGCACTGAGCAACCGACGATTGCTGGGAAGGACCCTCGCAATAGACGGCGGAAGGAGTAAAAGACGAAACATATCTGAAGATTAACCGAAGATGAGGCTACAAATCATCCTGTTTTGTCCTACGTGTAGAGCACATCTGGCCATGCAAGCCTCGCCAGTCGATATTATTCTTTCGCCGCTTCGGACGCCATCCCGGTCTCCACTGCGTTCGCCTGTCCTTCCACCGATGGCATTTCAAACCGCTTTTGGCCTTACATGCTGCCCCAGAACATATTTTCAGTTCCCGAGTGGTAGAGTCCATCCTCTCCATTCCAGCTGTTCCGTGTACACGCTGGCTCGCTCCCAGATGCTCTCGCCTCCATGAGCCTCGTTCTCCCAATCGATCTCTTGTATGCCTCTCCCTCGTATCACTATGAACAGCCTCTTGTCCTCTTGCCGCTCCTTGCGGACCAATTCGTGAAGAGTGATCCAATCATGGTTCCGTGCCTCTCCTGCCTCCAAGACAATCATCCGCAAACTCGCGTTCGCAGGTCCAGGTCTCGCTCTGTGCGGATACCATTTCAGCATGGCAGGACCGTCCTTCATGCTTTCGTGGGTGAACGATATGTGGGTCAGGTTGCGACACCGGTCCAGGACGCGGACAGTGCACATATATAAACGTGTACGGTGCCTCTCCCTTGCAGACGCGCAGGCAAGTGATCGCATCTAATGTTTTGCGTACGGTCCACCCTCTCGAAATCTTCATGCTGCCAAAAGTAGGCCGTTGCAAGATGAAGGTCTCCGGGCGCACGCGGTGGCGTCGGTTCGGGCAGAGATAGGAGCGACTGGCGCACGCTCCCCAAGTTCAGCTGGGTGCGGCGTCCCTCCACGTTGGTGGAGGCATCGTCTACTGGCCGCTGCCCGGTCCAGCCGATCGACTGCAGGTTGGGGAACAGTCGAAGCAATCTGTCGAGTATGGCGAGATCTAGATCGCTGGATACACCATCACCGCGCTCCGGGTGATCGCAGTGACCGTGTGCCCATAGTCGTCGGACATGATGAGCCCGCGCCATCGGCTTGTCATCCCGTGCCATCTCAGCGATCCATCCTTCGAAAAGTTCCGCGTCTCCCTTGCGGGTAGTCGAGAGCGCCGCGTAAAGGTGCTTCTCCGCGATTTGCTGCACCCAGGATGCGACGGGGCAAAGACTGCGGGATAAAGGAACTGCGATCCTTGTTTGCGGCGAATTCGTAGATGGGGATTCAGAGTTCATATGGAAGGCAGCTGGGCATTGCTAGAACGCGATGGGAAGTAGTGGCGAACGTGAGGAATGACCGCGTCAGTTTTATGTATACAGGTACCCCAAGAATTCGTACGGAAGACGAGGACTTATGCTATTATCCTGTTGCACCGCGTTGTTGATGTGGAAGATGAAGTGAAGCAAGGGGGGGTATTGTGCGCTATTGCGCGTGTAAGATCTAAGGCGTCAGACAACCGGCACGTTTTTCTCAAGCAGCTGCACTACATACGACGTCGACCATGGCAGAGACTCGAGCCCATGCGCTTTCGCCTGCACTTTATTTCAACCTATCAACTCGGATGGGAACTCGCGCACATGCAACGTGACAGTCGAGAAACGGGGAATGGGCAGAGCACTCGACGTGAAAATCGATGCTCGCTCGACGTTGCCGTCCTGACCCCTGGCAGAGCACATACTGTCAGGAATACCGCAGTCTCCGCCTGGAACTTCTTGCAGTCCAAGATACCGACAACAGGACATCAGAGGCCGTACGCAGGCCCTCTCGAGCATATGTCCTGGCTCCAGCGCCCTATGCCCACGCTCGAGAGAGCTGCGGACATCAACCCTATACCCAACCTCGCTCACGGGCCTGCAAACATAAAGCCGCGATCGGGACCGGCGGGGACCTGTACGAATCTGAAGCATGGCTACGAAGGCCGAGACGAACCTTGGGTGGACCGGACACGGACCTTGGCAGTACACCGTGCTGTCGGGCACGGCGCTTACAGACGAACTTCAGCGGCTCTCTGCGCCGACCTCAGTCGGCACGGCGGACGCAGTGACGTTCCAGCCCTCTCCGAAGTCGCACAGTCAAGATCGTTACGTGGTTCACGAGTGGGAGATTGGTGCGACGGGGCAACATTGGAAGTTTGCCGGGGTGTTCGACGGTGAGCTCTTCACCCTTGAATTCTCGCATCACGTCGTTACTCACGAGGCTCACTTCCTCTAGGCCACGGTGGCGAGGCAACTTCCGAGCATATCGTCGATGTCTTCCCGGATCTCGTCCGTCAGTCACTCGAGCAGCTGCTTTCCAACTCCCCCGAAGATGTCGTCCCAGCCGTCTCGGATTTGTTGGTGAAATCCATCCGTGACTTCGACGAGGGGCTCGCTCTGGACCTGTTCGGCATCTTTCCCGGTGGTTTGGAAGAAGCCACCGGGCTATCGGACGACGAGCTCAAGGCCCGCATGAGCGAAGGCGACAACCAGATCAAGTTCGAGAGGTGCATGTCCGGTACGACCGCGCTGATATCTTTGTTGGACCCCGCTGGGGCCAACCTTTGGGTGGCGAGCCTCGGAGACTGCAACGCCGGTACGTATAATCATTCTTCTGCGAGCGTGCACTTCCCTTACACGTAAACGCCCAGTCGTGGGCACCCAAACCGGTCCCGAGCAGTGGCAGCTGGACGTTACCGACGGCAACCACAACGGCAACAACTCCGAAGAGGCCGCTCGTGTCCGCCAGGAACATCCTGGAGAGGACGAGTGCGTGATGGAGACGCCGTGGGGTACCCGAGTCCTGGGTGCCATCGCCATCACCCGAGGTACGGGATGTTCCATTAGCCAATTACGAAGGTGGGACTGACCTCTCGAACAGCGGCGGGCGACTATCATTTCAAGTTGCCCTTACCATGGATTGAAGTATCGCTCCGTGTCAAGGAGATCAAGTTCAGCTACACGAGTTTAGATGCTTGGAAGGCGCGCATCCGGACTCCGCCGTACCTGTCGAACGTTGCGGGCATCCGTCACATCAAGCTCGACCCGCTGCAGGACGGTCACAAGCGGTTCCTGATCATGAGCTCGGACGGGCTATACGATTTACGACCGGAGGAGGACATGGAGTCGCCAGTGACAAAATATGCGCTGGGATGGCTCAAGGCCGCCGCGAAAGCGCAGGACGCGGGAGGGAACCTTGCGATGGAGGTGTTACGTCAGGGCCTCGGCGGCGAGGACGAGGCGAAGGTGTCCGCAATGCTGACGCTCGAAAGTGAGGGCCGGTGGACGGACGATATCACGGTCATCGTCAAGCCCCTATAGGCAAGCGCGTTTATCTGTATATAAGATATGTATCTAGGCTACGTGTCTAGCAAATATTTATTTGCGCGCTTTGAATCCAATGCAGGGTGATTCCCCTCTTCACACTACACAGGCTGTACAGTCCGAGCCATCGAAAGCGAGTACTCGTACGCCATCAGAAGAAGTCAAATTCAAACTGTGGCAACAACTATTCTCAATACCTGATTCTCAAGTATCATCAAAGTTTTGGACACTCACGCACGGGTTGGGATCGTCTGGCATTTTGCCTCCCATCAAGAAGCCGATGATTTGCGCCTTTTTCACGCCCCTGCCCTCCGCCCCTCTAGTACCATCACCCCAGCAAGAAATGGGTTCGATTGTCTCCCTCCCTTCGCAGGGTCGTTTCCGGACTTGCGCAGGCAGTATTCCTCGTATGTCCAACCCAGCATGTCGCGCATCGTCCCGTTGAAGAAAGGACCCATCTTCTCGATCTCCTTGGCTTCCGCGCGCATGCACATCTCCGACACAGTAGCTGGTGGAAGTTTCGGTCCGAACGGGTTAGGGATGTGATCGTGACTCGATTCCACCATGCGCTGCAATCGCGGATATTCAATCGGGTCGTTCCACCAGCCGTCGAGGCGGAGGTACTCTTCCTCGTGCGAGTAGGGGCAGAAGTCGTCCGGGCGGTGGCATTTGTCGAGGAGGTAGGCGAGACAGATGTTGCGGCCACTATAAGACGTAGAAAGGGCGCACGTCAGCTGAAAATATCCAGAGAGACAGGACTTCAATATATCCACTGCAGTATTGGCCCAACTCAACGTATCCTTTCTATCAGATTTTGAGGTTTGTCTAAGGCAGGATTCCATGTGTACGGAAGCCCGTCGAGAGCTCGCGGTAGTCCGTGACATGCTCGACAGCGGCGACTATGATGACGAGGACGAGGAAGATATCGTCTCTGAAGACGAAAAACCCTTCTGGTTCCGTGACATTGGATGCCCGTCCGACTCCGAAGATTTCAAGCGCGAAGGAAATGGGCTGCAGTGCCACGACTACAACCGCGATGGCTGTAAGAGAGGACCGCGAAGTTGTCCGTACAAGCATGGGCCGGATCATCGGAGTATCCGCGACGATCTGTACGCTTCTTTCCGTCCACCACGACAAAGCGTACGAACCATGCATGGCGGCCCTGATAAGTCCTATACCCTTTCGAGCGAGACCTCGGCGGTACCGGGATTTCAAAAGTCTTTTGTCATACTCCAACGCCCGGCCGGCGCATTGCGCTGCTGCATGATAGCTGCGGGTCACGAAAGCGTCGAATGAGCTGACACAAAATCAACATCATGATAGCAAACTCTCGTCACGTAATCATTTCTTTTGAGAAAGGCTGCCGCCAGATTACTCAAGTACCGAGGGCGTGGTCCATCCACCTGCGCTGCGTGGAAGTACGCCTCTATTGCTTTGTGCCATTCCCCCTTTCTGAAGAACGCGTTACCCTACAGGAGCCAATCTTGGATGTGAGTTCACCCGACCCCCGTATGTTCTGAAGGGTCTGTCATGTTACTCGCCTTATCCTTGAAATTCTCGCCTTCTGTATTCTGTTCTTTCTGCATCGCACGCCGCTTTTCTGCACGCGCCGCGACTTCCGCCTCTCTGGAACGCTTCCACCTCGGATCGTCCACTGCGTTTGGAAATTCCGGTTCTCGAAGGCTGCAGAGAGCAAGGATGACTGGCGTTGTCTGGGGTGTGCCGTGCAGGCTGCCTACGTAGCCAACGTGTCCCTTTCCAGAAGCGGAGAATGCGACCGACGCGTGGTAGTTGAGTACAGATGAGTCCTCTTCGTTCCTGTATCCGTAAACAACGTGCCAGGGGGGGCGAGGCCTGGGCCAGAGATCTGCAATGCATGCACGTCGTACTCGATTGCGAGCTCCTGCTTCGACACGTTCAGTACTTCCAGGCGCGTTAGCCTGTGCTTGGCCTTGCGGTAAGCGTCCGCCCTCCAGTTGAGTCCCCACACTTGGAGGAAAAGAGTGTTCATGTCCTTGGCATGTATTTCGGCCGCGAAGTCGCAGGCGTAGACGACGGTGCCGCCGCCGTCTTTCACGTAGCGCTTGAGCGCTGCCGGCGTCTTGGAGTGCGACAGCTCCGCCATGGCGCCGTCGGCTACGACCACCGCGGCAATTGCTTGCGGATTGCTGAGGCGCGTGATCGCCTCGGCGTCGGTGCGGACTTCGACGAGTGAGCACCGCTCGTCTAGCGCAGACAGCAGGTGGGCATATTGTTCGTAAAAGCCTGGCCGACTTGCGAGGCGAATGAGGAGAACGGTCGGTTTTGAGCGAGTCGTCATGTCGTACGTATCTCATATTCTCGTACTGTCTGTCAGGCTTCGAAGGCGTCTGTTCTTCGCAATTAACGTCGTATTTGGCCTATCCAACGACTCAAGGTCCTAGAGATATCTCTTAATTCTTGAATATAAGTATGAATGAGAGTGCAAAAACGTACGGAACATCGCATGGTGCAGTCTCTCCAACGCCTGTTTGCCCCTATCCATCCTGGTCATGAATAAGTTTGGCTCGTGACGCGTTCCAAGCGCGGCGACATCGTCATCGGCTAAACTGAAACGCTTGTTTGGGCGCTAAAATCGGTATCCTACGGACGTACGCAAATATGTGTTGTGAGGAAACATGACAAAACACGTTTTGCGGCGCTCAAGCCTCCCTCTGAGCTTACAGTGTCTCACTAAAGTTACTCCTCACAATGCGTAGCCGAAGGCAAACCCGCTTCGCTTCGCAAACCACATCGAACGAACAAGGAATGTAGGCGAACATTGCCGACAAAAACCTCGCAGAGCGTCTAGCATCAGAAGTCCCATCGGCTGACCCGCCAGTCTTCGGCCTCCTGGGCCAGCTCCTCGATGATCTCCAGGATGATCGACGGGTATGCTGTCATACCCTTCTCCTGTCCGCCTTCCCTCTCCTCCACTGTACCTGGTGCTTCTTCAAGATCTTCGGCCGGGGAACTAGGGCGCGAACCGTGCACTGCCAACGCTGGCAGGCTGTCCTGCGTCTGCGTACCCTCCGCCGCCGCAGCCACAGCCTGACACCGGAGGTGGCCACGCGAGTCAAACGGCGGCGGGTCGTCGTCGAGCATGAGCTGGCCAATGAGCACCCCAACGCTCTCGCGCTTCCGGACCGACCCCGCCCGTCGACGACGCGCGGCGCCTTCGTCGTCTTCTTCTTGCTCTTCAGGTACGGGATCCAGCGTCGCGCGGCGCGGGGTCGCCGGCGGCGAGCCATACATGACCGTGCTCGAGAGCCCCGGGGCGGAGAAGTGCTTCGCGCGCCTCGCTGCTGTCGCCCGCACCGCGCCCTCCGCATCTGCACGGTCATGGCCACGGTCCGGCTCGACCGCATCCGGGCCGCCGCGGCTCCCGGCACTGCGCCGCATGGCGACCAGCGTCCTGGTCCGGCGCGGCGTCTGCCCCTGCCCCTGCCCCTGCTCCTTCTCGTCCTCCGCCGGCGTTTCCGCACCGTCGCTCCCAGCCACCTCCGCCTCTCCCTCGCCGTCCACTTCGGCGACGGGGGGAAGCCGGACCGAGAACGTGAGTGGCGACGAGGCGGAGATCGAGTCCGAGCTGCCGCAGACGCTGAGCGCGGACAAGGTGTAGCTGCTGTCGAACGCGTCCCACGGGCGCGCAAAGCAGGCTCGGGAGTCGGTCTGCCCGGCCAAGCCTGTATCGAACCGCGCAGATTCCTCCTCGTCCTCCTCCTCCTCCTTGGGTGGTATCAGAGCAGCGGCGCAACGCGGAGGTTCAGAGACAGGATCAGACGGTTCGATCGAGGCTTCCAGGTTAGGTTGACGAGCGTCGGTTTCCGGTAGCCGTACATCAACAGGGTCGGTCTCGAGGCCAACGTGAGTCCGGATCGCCGGTGCGAGGTCATCCAGGAGCAGCCAGAGGTCCAGAGGTAGATCATCCGTCCGAGGGGCCATATTACCACCCGGCGCAGCGAAGTTGGACTTGTTGGGCAAGAGCAGCCCGCGGGCATTGTTCGACGGCAGAGGACCGCAGCCGGGCTTGACTTTGGCCGTGGCGGGAGAAGGCAGAGATAGGGCGCACGAGTTCTCTTGCTGATCACCTCCGCGAGTGTTACTGTTAGTAGTAGTACGAAGAGGAGAAGCAGTGGCCGTGGACTGAGATATGCGAAACAGGTACGCGCGTCCTGGGGCTGGAGATACCGAGTGTATTTCTTCTTCGTCGTCAGCGTGGTCGTCATCGCGAGACAGAGAAAGAGCGCCCAGAATCGGCCCGAGATCGTCTAGATCCGCGTCCACTTCCACGCTCAGAGCATCCGAGAAACGTCGACCGAGAACCGGGCGGGGCGCGGGTGATCCTGGTCCTCTACTGAAGCGCAGATTCCGTTTCAGAGGCGACGGCGACTTGCGCACCAACGGTGATGCTGCGGAAGAGGTGGAGGAACCAGATTGAGTTCGGGAGAAGAGGGCGCTTGGGAGAGAGGAAGGAGATTGAGTTCGCTCTGCGATGTGAGGTAGGGGGCCTGAGTTGCCGACTGAAGAAACGGGGATATCGTCGTCTATGCCGCTGCCGTCGTTGCGAGCCCGATTGCCTGATGTCAAGGGTCCACGCGTGTGGGTCTTTTTGGGCGTCAGCAGTCGTCCTTGGACGAGGTCCATATAAAGAGGGTTTGAGTCGCGAGTCCAGCGTGCGGATTCTGACGCCGTTGTGGGCTGACGTTGCAGAAGAGCCATGGTTCGGTTGCAAAAACGTTGCGTGAGAGCTCCCCCGGGTAACAGGTCCGATAGAGAGTATATTTAGACAAAAAACGCGTTGAGTAGAATGGTATCTCTCGGTGAAAGATCAACGCAAGAAAGGAGGCGATAGGCTGAGATGTGAGACGAGCGGAACGCGAGGACACGATGGAGGTCAAGGGCAAAGACGGGTGCGCCGCGGTCCCAAACCGAGCGGGCACATACCACTGGACATTCACGTGCTCCTCAAGGGCTTTTCACTGACAGCGGCATTGCTCGCCGCCTTTCTGAGACCGACGGCGACACCGTCGTCAACGTCCACCGCCCACCAGACGATGGGCCCGCCGAGCACACCCGCAGCGGCACCGGACTCGCCGCGCGCGTCCGAGTCGCCGCCGCCCTCGGGGCTGCAGGGCGACCTCGAGCTCGAGCTGCTCGGGCTCGCGAACGCGCTCTACAACCTCGGCACGACGGTCATCAATGACCTCACGAAGGAGAAGGATAAACCCGGCGGGGGAAAGCAGGTCGGGCTTCGGGTGTACGCTTTCGTTTTCTCTTACTTTTGTTTTCTTCTCCCCTTCTCCCCGCCCCCACGGCTTTTGCTGAACGATTTTCGGTGCAGGAACGAGACGATCCAGCACCTGGCGACGCTGGACGACATGTCGCAGCACGTCCGGACGATGGTCCCCATGCAGGTGCTGGCCGACATCGACGCCTCGCGCAACCCGATGCACCTCACCCGCGAGCGGCTCGAGCGCGCCGCGACCGAGAACCAGTTCATGAACGGCAAGATCCAGGCGCTCGAGGTATGCGTGTGTTGGGCTGGGTTTCGCTCTCTCTGATCCCCATTGTCCCTCCCAATACGTATACCTTGGACTGACCCCATCATCTTCTTTCTCGGACAAGTCGTACCGGAGGACCCTGGACGAAGCCATCGCCCAAAGTTTTCCCGATCTGGCACCGTACCTCCAGCCCCCGTCAGATGGCTCTGCTCAGCACCCAAACTCTGAAGAACAGGGCACGGTGGCGCCGAACGGACTGGCGCTCACCAACCACACCGACGCGCAGCAGTCGGGCCCGATCTAGAACAATGGACGTATATACCATCGTGGCACCTCACCCGACGCCAACGCCAAGCTCAGTACCGTAAGTCGTACGGGAACAATATCATTCCCTGTGACTCAGCATCGAACGCAAACTTAGACCTTATTAGCTCCGTGGAAGCGTTTCGGAAACACGCGTTCTTGCCACTTCTTCTGTGCCTCTACCATCGCTCATCATGGCCCTCACGTCTGGGTCTCCCGCGCCATAGCGGGATAAATTCCGACCGGCCGCGATTCCCCAACTCAACATAAACGCGACCCCTCCCCACGGAGCCTATTGCAGAGCCTACGCTCCCAATCAGCGGCGATCAGCAGCCGTCGGCCGAGGCTATCTATGCTACCATATCGCATCTATACTTACATGAAGGATCAGAAGGGTGGAGGGGGGTTGTCGTAAGGGGTCATGGATGTCCCTGGGAGCATGCATGGCAATCATCGGATGGGTAACTGCCGCAGGGAGTGTCCAGCTCGCAGGGATAGGCGTAGAAGCCATTCGATGTTGGTCGGTCGTCATGCCAACCAGGCGTATTACTGTGCATTGCATCCAGGCGGAGAGAAGAAGATGATACAGTAATCGGGCGTGCGTCTCGCGTTAATTGATAGTAGTAGTATGTGTTCTCTTTGCCATTGTCAAAACGGTTCGATCCCATATGTTCGCGGAGAGTTGCGAGTGGCCTGCCATCAAGCGCGCGGCTGAAATCCATCCGGAGCTATTTACCATCGCGTCTCATATAGCTTTTTACCTTGATCCTCCTCCTTGCTCTTCTACCTGGCTCACCGTTTCGAGGTCGCTCGGGCAAACTTGGTCCCTCACTTGAACTCGTGATTTGTCCCTGTCTCATTACGACTCTGGAGTAAGACTCCCAGCGGCGAACGTAACTGCGCCATCTGTCGTAGCTGGGATCAATAACAAGAGCCAGCACCAACTCCGGATCAGCGCCGAAGCACCGGTCGTTTGCGCAGCCCCCATAACATCCGCACTTCCGGCCGACATCACCCCCGCGTTGCCTTCCTCCTACCCTTGCTTTTTTTGTTTTTTGTTTTCTGCGGCCACCACCACCTCAGTGGGGTAGAAGAAGATGTCGTACTTTCTCTACGGCTACAGCCAGCACAAGCCGGCGCGAGAGGGGAACGAGGTCGCGCGGACGCTGAAGACGATCGTAGATGGTGAGTGCCTCTGCCGATTGTATTGATTTGTTATTTCCGACGTTGAAGAAACCGATTGCGTGTTATCGATATACGACAGAACCGGCGTACGCGTTCGACGTCCAGACGCGCAAGGATCTCGTCGCCGTGATCTTGGAAGATGTCCGGTTGTGCGCACAAAACGATCCCCAAACGCGGCTGCTGCGAACCGGTACGTCTCTGTAGTTTCTCTCTGCTCCCCCGTGCACTGAACCTCTTACCCTTTCCCCTACCTTCTTCTATCGCGTCTGTCCTCTCTCCTGTCCGTTCACGATTGAATATGGATATATCACAAAACATCGGTTGGCACACCCAGACGCCGCGCTCGCCCTGCTCGCGATCAAGAACCTCGCCAAGATCCCCATCGGCGCAGGCGTGCTCATCACGGAGCCCAACCTGAAGACGCTCCTCGAAGCCTCGACCGCCTTCCCGGACGAGCCCGCGGCGCAAAACGAGGCGCTCCGGTGCATCGCCAACTCGCTCCTGCTGCACGAGTCTGCGCGGACGACGTTCGTCACCGACAATGTCCGCGGCGACGAACGCTGCGTCGAACTACTTGACGTACGCAACAATTCCCCCCCATCGCGTTCCCGCCTTTGTTTTCTTCAGCTGAATATATGCGGGATATATGCAGAAATCAGACGACCCGGAGCAGATCTTCCTCGCGAGCCGGATCCTCTTCCTCTGCACCGTCTCCTCCCTCGCCGCGGGCGACTTCATCAAGTCCCTCGTCGAGCAAGCGCGTGTCGTCGATGTCGTCGGTCCCAAGATCGACCTTCTCACCGCGGCCGTCGCCGCCGGAACCAAGATGGCCCGCGAGGCGCTCACCGATCTCATGAAGTTCGTCTTCAACCTGCTCGTGCACTACCCCAAGGCAAATATTACCTACCCTCTCTCTCTCTCTACACTACTCATTCACGTCGTACAGCTGACTGACGCGCCATGGGCGCCGATCAACCAGAACGCGCCAAAGCCGGACGACCACGCGAAGGTCATGGGCGAGTACTGGAGCGACCGCTTGGACGGGTACGTTTGCCAATCGCTTCAGTGATTGCAGCACCACCAGCTGAATCTCCGCCTAACAGCATCCTCGCCCCCCTCCTCCGCGCCTTCCACACGCTCCCCCCTCCGCCCGCCTCGCCCACGCCGCTCGCCGCCCCACTCACGCACATCATCCACGCCCTCATCTCCGTCCCCTTCACCCCCTCCCTCCTCCCAACATGGCACGCCCCCGCCCCCACCTCTCCCTCACCGCTCACCACCACCAAACTCGCCTCCGCCGCCGAGTCCTCCTCCTCCCGCTCCGGCTCGCCCACGAGCACCTCCAAACCTCCCGGCGCCTTCGACCGCGCCATGTCCGTCCTCTCCTCCGCCTCCCGCCGCTCCTTCTCCGGCATCCGCGGCTCCTCCCCCTCCCCCTCCTCCCCCTCCCCCTCTCCTCCCACCTCCTCGATCGACGTCCTCAAACGCGCCCAAGACCTCCTCGACGCCTCTTTCGCCCACTTCCTCCAAGGCACCTGCGACCCCGACGACGCCGCCGTGCGCGAGCGCGCCTCCGCCGCGGGCGACACGACGCTCGACGAGCTGCACGGCCCGCTCGTCGTGCTCCTCACCCGGCTCGCGCTCGCCGACGCCGCCTGGCGCAAACGCACGCTCGACTGGCTCGTCCCCGCAGACCTCGACCGCACCGGCCCACCGCTCGAGGCGCGCCCGACACTCCTCGGCCGTTGCCTGCGCCTGCTCGGATCCGTGCACCATCCCCGGCTAAAAGACGCCGTGGGCGAGCTCTTGTTCGCCGCCTGCGATGAAGACGGTGAGCCCTGTTCTTTCCTTCTTCCCTCCC